CAAAAGTTTTCAAATGGTTTATAAGAATGTAAGGATTAAGATTTTGAATGATTAACTCCATCGATACTTCAATACCCCCTTATTGCATGGATGTTGTGCCTATATGGTTTTGTATAGTTTCCATACCTGACGGATTAACTGCATAGACTTTTTTTTAAAGATCTCAATATAATATCCGAATCAGCACAAAAGACATTATAGTAGAGAAGTAGCATGTCTTGATATAGATATTCAATTTTAGAGTAGAAAAAAGATAAGAAAAACATGAAAAAATGAAAGATTTAATGAACTGCGACAAAGCTTAACGTGTTGAAATCTGGTTGTCACGTCGCCTTACGTCATGTGATTGCTCCGTGAATCCCATGACCTCATAGTAAAAATCGTTGTAAATTTTCAAGATTTTAGTAAATGGACCGGATTTTTTACATACTAATAAACAAAATGTAGAAATTTATTCAGACATAGGTCATACTTCACAGTACACAATAGATTTTCCGTAATTCAATGTGTCCGCGAACTTTTCTAACAACCCTCGTACATGATATAGTTTATGTTTTATTTGTTCAGATCATAAATCAAACAATTAATAAACTTTAAAAAAAATATGAACATTTTACAACATATTAGTCCCAACGCAAATGTTTTACAATTAAATCGCATTGATTTATAACGATATCGTCCTGAACATAGCCTCAAGAAAACAAATGATGTTAGGAAGTACAACTAAAATATGTCTGGTATAAATTCTGTATACATGTAACTTTCATACTCATTCAATTTTCAAAAGATTACTGTATCATATTAAAGGCAAATGTTTATCAATGTCGGTTGAAAGTGGTTTTCTTGGGGTGAAAATTTTAAATGTTACACTCAACTACTTGCAATATTTATTTTTCTTGGTGGAGCATGGGAATAGCTCAAGATCTTTGTATTGTTTAGGTGTAATTAATAACAAATATCACGACAATCGTTTTTATACTGGAACACTTTGACAAAACCTTCCGAATTACTAACCACAATGAAGAGCCACAGAGAGATAACTTGTGGGAACAGTTGGTTTCTTTTTCTGTCAGTAAAATTTTCAGGAACTCCCCCTAAGTGCTCAGCAGATGGATGCAACCGGTGTTTAAATCAGAAACAATGATGTTGTAGTGGGAGTCAAACTCCATATCACCTGGATATAACACTGTATGGTCTGCAAAGCCTCTTTGATCATGTTGATGGGTGAACTTTACGTGACCAGAAAGAGACATGATCATCAGTTCAACTATATCCTCGCCGATATAGTTTATAATGCCTATGTCAGTATTTTTGTTTTGTGTGACTCTGTGTGGGTCACAAAAAAGTCTGTACTTCCCATCTTCCATGTATTCATAGTCACAAATTACTTGACCAGTCAATGTCATGTGTCTTAACAGACGCATGTCTCCCTCACCTTCTTCGTTATGTTGAAGCGTGACCAATAGATTTCCCTCCACAGTTTCACATATACCCGATGGTGACCAGGGATGCATGTTGGTGATCGTATAGACAGATCCTGATGAGGAGAGAAGGCTAATAAGATCATTCTCCATCTGCGTAAAATAAATATCACCACTAGCAGTAACACAAAAATCTTCAGGTACAATACTAAATCTACGTATCTTCTGGCATTGTTTGCTAAATTCTTCGAGATATTCTGTTTCATAGTTTGTAATGTAACAAGTGTCTTCACTGAATGTGTTAAGATTATCTAATTCTTTTGTACCACACATAAATGAGTCTATTTCACTAGCATTAAAATCATCTAAATTCAATATCGGTTCCATCAAAGATTCCAGTAGTTCATCAGTGATTTTCCATATACTATATCTCATTGACATGTATTATTTAGAGTACGAGTTTCCTACTGTATCAGAGATACAGGGCGGGGCTTGAGGCGAGAGCGATAGCTCGAGCCGGGCCCCGCACTGTATCTCTGATACAGTAAGAAACGAGTATTCTAAATGACTTGTGACATGACCTTTCCAAGGACCTCACTAATTTACATGCGTATTTGGGTACATACCTCCCAACCAATCATGCAGAAAGATTTTGCAGAAAGTTGATTTAGTATCCCATTTTAAGCATTCGCAACTGAAATGCCGAGTGAGATGGACGTGCAGGTATCTATCATTTTAAAATAATTATTTAAGGGATGCATAAATTAATTTGTTCTCCAAAAATTTTATTTAGATTTGATTGCGCAGGGTTTTTTTTCTCTATGCAGCTCTTGCTGACATTTTTTTTTTCAGTTTAAGCTACGATTTAATGCAAAACATTTTGATATATAAGAATCATGTGGGAATATTTTTGAAACAAAAATGCTTCGGGAGATCGTAGATTCTGAGAGAAATGTCCGACAATGTCCTCCACCGGTCGTCATATACAAATTGAAATAAGCAGATGAAAGGAAAAGGGGGGGGGGTATTTTACGATCATGTTTTCATTAAAATGTATATATATATAAAAATATATAATACAGCACTCACTAGTGCCCCCATCCCACCTCCTTTGAGTTTTTTTTCTTTTTCGCTTTCGTAAATAATTTTTTTTTCCTAATCTTGTATACATACGCTTTTTAATTCGTCAACAAGTAACGAAATGACGCACATAGGTGTTGGTTGATTATAAATATAACCCCACGGAATACGATTTTCCGTTTTTTTTTAAGGGGGGGGGGGGGGGGGTCAAAGTAATAATTTGTGAACTTCCCCACTCCCTCCTTTCTAAAATTTTTGAATCCGACAATAATACCTTTACGTTGTAAAATTTTATTCTTAATTCACCTCAATTTTTGAGTAAATACTAACAGTTCTATGGCGAATTGAACGATTGGTATGTCTGTATATGGATACAGCTTTCCGTCATCGCTAAATATAAACCGTACTGTATCGTTGATATTTTGCAGATACAGTACAGTTTCTGCTCATTTGCATAAGAAACGCCCACAAAAAGTGTTCTGTATCGCAGTTACAGTATGCTTGACTTCAAAGGAAAACTCACCGGGTCATGTCACAATGTACAGTTAAACACATCGGCGTCGACGTCAGATAGCTTCCTCTTTAGTTCTCCATGGTTGTCAATCAAACTATAATCAGACATGGTACAGTTATTCTCCTCTAAAAACTCCACCAATTCCATAATTTGTCTCTTCTTCGTCGCTAACTTGGATTTCAGGGGCCCGATTTACAAAAGGACTTACGACTTAAGACCAAGTATAATTATTCATATAACTTTTTAATCAACATTATATCGAAAATTATTTTAAACATTTTAGAAAGAATGTGGTAAGATATTTTTACACAGACAAAGAGAATTATTAATTTTGCAAAATTTTACAATGATCTGAAGTTTTTCGTCTTAGTCGTAAGTTCTTTTGTTAAACGGGCCCCAGTCGATTTTTGAATCAGATTCTCTTTCAGTATTTTTTCCTGAGATTCTCTAAAGTTTACAAACCGTGAACTATCATTAACAATTCGTTAACTATAGTTTTCATCTGTAAAACTATATTTAACGGTTGTTAACTATAGTTTACGAATGCTAATCAAAGTTTATCTGTTTGTAATAAAACGTTTAGAATAGATTTTGTTGATAAACATAGATTCACGTCTGTAAACTATATAATTTACAATCGTGAACTATAGTTAAGAGTTGTTGATCATAGTTTCACAAATCGTGAAACTATATTTATCAGATCTTTAACTTATTGTTAAGAGTTGTCAACCATAGTTTACAAATCGTGAAACTGTATTTATCAGATAATCTATGTTTTGTAATCGCAAATGATTGTTTTCAGTGTAAAGTTTAGTTTACGGTTCTGAAACATAGATTATCGCGTTAACTATGGTTTACGAATGTAAAATATAGATTAACGTTGTTAACTGTAGATTACAGTCCGTAAACTATAGTTTACAACCGATAAACCTAGTTTATCGACTGTGAAACTATGTTTAGCTCATTTTTGTGAATTTGGCGTGCCATACACGACACTGTTTGTTTTGTTTTTTTTGTTTGTTTGTTTTGTTTTAAATCGCGATATCAGACGGGGCGATGCAATATATATATATATATATATATATATATATATATATATATATATATATATATATATATATATATATATATATATATATATACACGAGGGTTGTCCCAAAATTCCTTAGACAAGCGTTGTTTTCTAGGAACCCGATGTCAAATATTAATGAAATTTTGTACATATAGATTAAACCAACTCTAACTGTTAACTTTATGGACAAATAAGGAGTTACTACACAAATTAACCCTATTTAAATGATACAGTTCATTGTCTGGTGTAGGAAGGTGGCGTGAATTTCAATTAAAAATCGATACATTATATTTAAAATCCGATTGGAAAAGTAATTACTACTCTGTATTTTTTAAATGGAGATGCAAATTCTTAATATTTTATTATCAACTATATGTCCTCAAATTTTGATGTTCGTGCTTTAACTTAATGTGAATTTTATAACATTTTATATACACCGGGGTGAAATCCGACTCTTTGAGGAAAAAAAACGGCTGCGTTGGTACAGGCGGCGCACTGGACTTCGATCAAACATTTTGATCGTGAATTCACTCCAATAGAATTGTACATAATATGTCATTAATGTTTGGTAGACAAGGTAATGCTTTCAGGTAAGTATTTCAAAATATAGGCTAGCTGCAGAACTGTAGCTCTCCAAAAAAATATTTAATTTGACAGACCGGAGAGCTACAATGTTACGTTAAATAAACAACATACAGACAGACAGACATATACAAACACTAACAAATACATACAATCAATGCAGAAGAAACAATAATTATGATTTGAAGAGAGAGGCGACCCATTTTACATAATATTGACTGAAAACGAATTTACAGAAAACAGAAACATAAAAAAATGTTAAAAGTACTTAATCTGAGGTTTTTTTTATGATTACATGTAATCAAGCTTGTGGTTTTTATATTATAACGTAACATAATAAGTTAATTTTTCACAGAAACATGATGCACACAGGATACATGCTGTATATAAAAATGAAAACCTAAGAACTGAACACTTATTTTCTCCGGTCAACAAAGTGCGCCTCAGTAATGGTAAGATTAAAATAATTTCTCCATGCATGGTTTTTATTTTTGAAATGATAAACGTATTATTTTAAAGTTAACGATATAGTGTAAGTTTTATTTGTTTCGATCATAAATGAAACCTATTTAATAAACTTAAAATATTCTGAACATTTAATAACATATAAATCCCAAAGCAAATATTTTTCAATCGAATCACATTGATTTAATGACTTGATTTTGAACATAACCTAATAAAGAATTATCCTAAGATGTACTCTTAAAATGTGTCTGGCATAAATTCTGTATTACTGTTTATACTCATTCAATTTTCAAAAGATTACTTTATCATGTTTTAGGCAAAGATCCTTCTATTCCTTGCCCTCGTCATACTCGATTCTGCGTTTGGGTTTACCTGTGTTAAGGAAGATGACGAATGTTTTGGGAGCCTCGAAATTGATTACGCCTTTACAATGATTGATCCCTTGAACGGACCAGTCTACGCCAAAGACCGTTCTCTGTTCACTGTTGATGGTGATGAGGAAGTACCAACAGAATCTGTGAACACAGCAGACGGGTGGAACTTGACAACTACAAACTTACTGACCGCTAATGGAAAAATGCCAGGACCTAATATTGTCGTATACCAGGATCAGAAAATTACTATTAAAGTCAAAAACAAGCTGATGAACGAGGCTATCACGATACACTGGCACGGTATTGATCAATTTGGATCACCTGCAATGGACGGAGTGGCGTTCGTTACACAGTGTCCAATCTTACCAGGACAACATTTTATATACACATTCCGGCCTCGCTTCGCCGGTACTTACTGGTACCATTCCCATGTCGGTATACAGAGAGAAATGGGGTTGTACGGGGCCTTTATAGTTCTTAGAAGAGACGATGACATTCCTCCAGAAAGACAATACATCATGCAATTACAGGAATGGAACCACTTGTACGACCCTGTCACTCGGTTTAAAGCTAATTTACAAGGTACCGGTAATGATCAAAAATCTATCCTTATCAATGGAAAAGGAGAATTCAATGGCAATAATGCACCATTGGAAGAGTTTGTCGTGGACAGAACCAAATCCCATGTATTCCGAGTGATCCACGTAGGCTCCGCTGATTCCATGCTGCTCTCCGTGCCAGGGTTAAAACTGAAAGTCAAAGAAACTGATGGTTTTCCAGTCGAACCAAAAATCGTAGACCAAATTATTATTCTTCCGGCTGAAAGATATGATTTCGAACTTGATCTGCAAACCGCTTGTCAAAGTAATTATAAAATTATCGTGAAAATTCTGACAGGTTCTGACTTAAAAGAAAACCCTAATATAAAAGGGTTAGCCATTTTGAGAGTCACGGGAGTCAGCTCAGGCAACAGTTTGGGATCTTCTGGACATCATCTAAAACATAGGTCACATCTTTCTGGACGAAAGGAAGGACAATGGGAGATCGAGTCGCAGTATAAAAAATACTGTGAAAATAGAAGAGAGAATACCAAAACAGTGCTTAATTGTCCATTTCAGAAATATCCAAATTCTCCAGAAAAGACTTGCGTGCCAGTCTCTGAACTTAAATCTACATTTAAAGAACCAAATGATAGGGTATTGAGAGGCTCTGAGACGTTTTTTCTAAACTTTGCGTTCGTAGGTGGTCCTTCAATTAATGGACGCAAATTTATTCCGCCAACAATAGCAGCTTTGTTAGAACCGGAAGCAGTGGATAGAAAATGTGAAGGATGTGGCGATGAGAACCCGTGCTCCTGCACTCACACCATAGAGTTGTCTTATGACAAGGAAATAATTATGGTATTCCTCAATCTCGGAAAAGGGGGTAGATTAAACCATCCAATCCATATGCATGGTCACACGTTTGAGGTTTTAAAGATGGCCTTTCCGAAAGTAGAAAAAGATTCGACCGGAACAGATACTCTAATACCAAATGAAGATATCCAGTGTAGCAAAACTTTGCCGAATGATGAAAGCAATTGCAATAATGCTCAATGGAGAGACGAGTCATGGAGTAACTACAAACTTATACCAGGTATTAACCTAATCAACCCAGTCCGAAAGGACACCTTGTTGGTTCCGATGGGTGGGTATGCTGTGATCCGAATCTTCTCCGACAACCCCGGGGTGTGGTTTATGCACTGCCACATCGACAGTCACATGAAGAATGGAATGGCGCTAATGTTGTATGAAGCCATAGACCACATACCCGAACTTCCTAACCTCCCAACCTGCCGCAGTTTCGACAACGAAGGCGAAGAAATGGACGGTGAATCGAAGTCACGACATGCTTGGCGCCATAAAAGTGAACTCTGAAAAGATTTAACGATTTGTTTGTGTTTTCTTTTTAGCTATCCTCATACTCAATCCTCTACACCAATAGTTCTTCGTTACCATTGTCTGCCATGACAGATTTATTGTACTCTTTGTGTCGGCTCCCTTTGTTTGGACTCACATTTTTTTCCTTTTGCGATTAGCTGTAGTAGTATATGACATACTGTACATCATACACTTACTAACAAATAAAGCTTTCCATATATAACATTTCAAATTACTTACTCAATCTGTTATTATAAACCAAAATCTATAGATATGTCATATATCAATCCGAGGGTTGATATAACATAGTTTTAAGAATAGTCTGATTATATATATAAATATATATCATGTGAGTTCAAATAAATACTTCACATATGTAATCATTGTGACAAGGCTTTCCTACGATACCAACAACTTTGACCCTTTGACCTTGACCTAGGAGTCTGAGCAACTTTTAAAAACTTTAACCATGGTCCGTATAACACTTACCAATCCAAATTTCTAAAATGATTTTCAATTTTAGATTGTTAATATATTAGTTCAAATTTCTTTCAAAAACTCAAGCTGATTTGGTATCTTGAAATTTAATATTTTGGATCAAAATCTAAATTTTCAAAAAGGTTTTTGAATTTTAAGTTTTTAGATTTTTACCTTAAACATTCAAAATTTAAATTTCCAAAAACAATTTTTTTTAATCTATCGTTCCTTCAGAGAGTTTACGCTTAACAATCTAAAACTCTATAACATTTTTTTGTCTTTTGATTATTTGAATATTACTTCAAACTTCCAACTTTCAAACGTTTTAGATTCTTAGAAATTTAGAATTTTGATTCAAACACTCAACATTTAAATACCAGTAACCAAAACACTTTTTACATTTTGGGTTTTTAGAAGTTTACTTCAAATATCCAAAATATCAAATTCCAAACTCAGTTTAAATTTTGCAACTATGCCAAAAACGCTCTGGTCAAGTAAAATAGCTTTTCGATATTAAGAGTATTGGATTGATACAGACATAGTTTCAAAATTCGGATCGGGTTTTGAAATAAAAACCTAAAAACTCAAGTTTTTTTTTTTGTTATTTGAAATTTGAATTTTTGAATCAAAAGTCTAAATTTCAAAAAATCTAAAACGTCTGAAAATTGAAATTTAGAAGTTTGAAGTTATTTTTGAAATATCAAAGTCGTAAAACTTTACTAAACTTTAGATTGTTGAATGTAAACTTTCTAAAGAAACGGTAGATTAAAAACTCAAAAGTTTAAAATACTAAATTTGTTTTTGGAAATTTTGAATATTTAAGGTAAAAATCTAAAAACTATAATTCTAACATCGGTTTGGAAATTAACTTAAATATTAAATTTCAGTATACCAAATCAGTTTGGGTTTTTGAAAGTTAGAAATTTGAAGTAATATATATTAACATTCTAAAGCTCAAAATCATTTTAGAAATTTGAATTGTTAAGTGTTACACGGACCTTGATTCAAATTTCAAATATTTCTCAACACCTTTTACATTAAAGGTTTTTAGGGTCCGTGTAACACTTAACAATTCAAATTTCTAAAATGATTTTGAGTTTAAGAATGTTGATATATTAGTTCAAATTTAGAAATTTCAAAAAATCTAAAATTTCAAATTTCCAAACAGGTTTTACAGGTGTTACACGGACCTTCTAGTCTTTCACTTCAAATATCCAAAATATCAAATTTCAAACGTGGTTTGAATTTCAAACTATTTCAAAAACTCTTTTGGTAAAGCAAAAGAACTTTTAGATAGTTAGAATATTAGTCCGTGTAACACTTAACAATTCGAATTTCTGAAATTCTTTTTTATAATCTAAAGTTCAGTACAGCTTCACAACTTTAGATTGTTAAGCGTAAACGTTCTAAACAAACGGTAGAGTAACAAGAAGCCCATGGGCCACATCGCTCACCTGAGCAATGTGTGGCAAGGAAAAAAGCATAAATCAGTTTATTGTTGAAAAGTTGAAACTAAATAGTGGTCCCAAACAATCCTTAAAAGGAAAACGGTATGATTTTAACAAACTTGAATCTACACTAACTAAGGATGCTTGCATATTTTGTTGACTACTTGTGGCTTTATTGCCCTTTACATTTTAACTTACATTGTGGCCCCGCCCTACCCCCGGGGGTCATGACTTGAACAAAATTGAATCTACACTACCTGAGAATGCTTCCTATGAATAGGACTAATCATGCCTTTGCTATTCTTGAAAAGAAAATTTTTAAAGATTTTTTCTAAATGTTTCTATGTAAAACTTGGATTCCATGTTGTGGCCCCGCCCTACCCCCAGGGGTCATGATTTGAACAAAAATGAATGTCCACTACCTGAGGATGCTTCCATAATAATATGATCATTCATGCCTTTGCTATTCCAGAGAAAATTTTTATAGAATTTTCCTATATATTTCTATGTGAAACTTTGATCGGCCATTTTGGCCCCACCCTACCCCCGGGGGTCATGATTTGAACAAACCTGAATCTCAACAACCTGAGGATGCTTCCATAAAAATTCATGCCTTTGCTATTCCAGAGAAGAAGATTTCTAAAGAATTTTCGTATATATTTCTATGTAAAACTTTGATTGGCCATTGTGGCCCCGCCCTACCTGCAGGGGTCATGATTTGAACAAATTTGAATCTACACTACCTGAAGATACTTCCATATAAATATGATCATTCATGCCTTTGCTATTCTTGAGAAGAAGATTTTTAAAGAATTTTCCTATATATTTTCTATGTAAAGCTTCGTCATCGATAACAACGTTCCTGGAGAAATTGCTACCGAGGTACGTGAACTTGTCCACTACATTTAGCCATTGGTTGTTGATGGTGATGGTGATGTTGGTCTCAACATACGGTTTGCCTGGTCCTGGCTGGTGCGTGACTTCGGTCTTCTTTGTGCTGATAGTAAGGCCAAAGTTGTCACAGGCATCAGAGAACTTATTAACGCTGTGCTGCATATTTACCTCGATCGGAGGTAGAGTTGAGGGCAGAATCAACAGCAAACAGGAGGTCGTTGATGGTGTCCGATTGAACCTTGGACTTCGCTTGTAGTCGTCTGAGGTTGAAAACTGAGACATCAAAGCGCCATTTGATGCCAGTTCCGGTGTCCGTGCCATCGAAGGCATCAGTCAGCATGGCGGAGAATATCAAGCTGAAGAGCGTCGGGGCGAGGACGCATCTATGCTTCACTCCATTGGAGACAGAGAATGGCTCTGAAGATTCGCCGCCTTCTTGGACTCTCGCCTGCATCCCATCGTGCAGCTGTCGAACGATTGTGATGAATTTTGTTGGGCATCCGTACTTCGCCATGATTCGCCAAAGGCCTTCTCTGCTGACAGTGTCAAAGGCCTTGGTCGGATCGACGTAAGTGAAGTACAGGTCGGAGTTCTGTTCCTGACACTTCTCTTGCAGCTGATGTGCAGCGAACACCATGTCAATGTACCGCGATTCTTCCGGAAGCCGCACTGACTCTCGGACCGGAGGCCATCCTCAAGGTGTTAAATGAGACGGTTAAGTATAACCCGCGCTAGCGTCTTGCCTGCAATGGAGAGAAGGGAAATTCCACGATGGTTGTCGCAGGCCTGTCTATTTCCCTTTCGCTTGTACAGGTGGATGATTGAGGCATCTTTGAGGTCTTGAGGCATCTTCTTTTGGTCCCAAATGATCTCAAACAGATTGTAGAGTTTTTCGATTAGAGCCATGCCCCCTTCTTTGTTAATCTCAGCTGGGATGGAGTCTCCGCCGGGTGCTTTGTCAGTTGACAGCAGACTAATTGCTTTCTAGATCTCTTCCAACCAGTGAATGGCGTCCAATGACTGGTTGATGGGAACCTGGGGCAGTCGGTTGATGGCTTCGTCGATAATGGTAGGGGGACGGTTCCGAACGCCCTTAAAATGCTCCGCCCACCTGTCGAGTATCTTTTCCTTCTCTGTGATGAGTTTTAACCCGTCAGCACTGAGGAGAGGGGATGAGCCTTATGAAGTTGGCCCATAGACTTCCTTCAGTCCACAGTAAAATTTCTTCATGTCATGAGAGTCGGCGTAGCGTTGGATCTCGTCAGCTTTGGCATTCAGCAGGAGTCCTGCATATCTCGAAGCTTTTGCTGTACTGTGCTGCGAGTGTTCCTCAGAGCGTCTTTCTTGGCTGTGGAGGTGGGATCATTTATATGAGCCTTGTAGGCGCGATGCTTGTCCTCTAGAAGCTGTGTGATCTCGTCACAGTTCTCATCAAACCAGTCTTTGTGTTTTCTGGTGGAGGGCCCCAGACACTCGAAGGCTGTATTGTACACTGAATTACGAAGTGTGCTCCATGCTGCTTCCACGTCGTAGTCATCCAGCATGGTGGAGTTAACGGTACGTATAACACCTGACAATTCAAATGTTAAAATTTTAAATAACCAAAACACTTTGAGTTTTTAGAACTTTACTTTGAATACCTAAAATATCAAATATCCGAACCCGTTTTGAATTTTGAATATCAGTTCAATATTCTAAATACCTATTTAAAAGATCTTTTGCTCGACCAAAAGAGTTTCTGAAGGGTCCGTGTAACACTTAACAATTCCAATTTTTAAAATGATTTTGAGTTTTAGAATGTTAATATTTTAGTTCAAATATCTAAATTTCAAAAACTCATACTGATTTGGTACATTGAAATTTAACATTTTAGTTCAAAAATCCAAATTTTCAAATTTCCAAAGATGTTTTTAAAAAAATTTAATATTTTAGATTTTTAACCTAAAAGTTCAAAATTCTAATTTCCAAAAAAAGATTCTTGTATTTTATACGATTGGGTTTTTACTCTACCGTTTATCCAAAAAGTTAACAATCCATGATTCGGTAACATTTTTCGTCTTTTCATTATTTAAAATTAACCAACTTCTAAATTTCAAATTTGGAACGTTTTAGATAAAACGTTTGAAAGTTGAAATTTAGAATTTTGAAGTAAGATATAAATAATTAACAAAATAAAAAATAAGTTAGTGAATTTTGGATTATTAAGCATAAACTTTCTGAACAAACAGTAGATTAAAACGCAAGAGTTTAAAATACCAAAATCCTTTTTGGGAATTTGAATATTGAACATTCAAGGTTTAAATCTAAAATATAAAAAAAATTAAAACCGGTTTGGAAATTTGAAAAATTAGATTTTTGAACTAAAATATTAAAGTTCAATATAAAAAAATCAGATTGACATTTTGA